CTGTAATGTGTAGGTTTATTTTTAACAGACAGTCCCAACATTTCATCTTACCTGTGCACAAGTGCCTGACCACACCTGCAGAGGATCCAGAAAGCTCCATCCCATCTACTAGATAAAACTAATTTAGAATAATTGATATTTAAAAAAAAAAATAATGTGTTTTGCAATACAATGTGTTTCTTTCTAGATGACACCGCTAATAAACCAGGCCTGTGACGTCCTGCTGTGTAACTTAAAAGTCTATGCAGATTCTGGCAAAGCTTTTGATATCCAGAGGTATGTTCAACATGCTAGAAATTAGTAGCAGATTTTAAAAAAAACCCAAATAAACAAAGAAACCCCCATGAATAGCAGCAGTTATTCTAAATATGTGCTTACTGTATAAAAGATTATTTTCCACCCCTCGCCCCCTCATAGTTTAATGGAGGATGTGTCTGATAGATGCCTTTTCTTCCCGGGGCAGCTATTGCATACTTGAAAAGTAATTTTGGAAAAGCATCTGATGTATTTCTAGCTGTTGTTTAATGAAGTTTTAACAGCTGGAAGCAGAAAGAAAAGCTGCATCGGTTCCCTGTCCAGTCTGCTCTCTACAGTCTGCCAATAATGTACAAATATAGTAATTGATCTAATATCAAATCCCTCTAGTTCATCACTCTCTTGCTTTTTTTTATATGAGGCTTTTTGAACACTTAATCATTCTTACCACATTCCTCCTAACCCCTTTAATGGCACACTAGCCTTTTGTGAAATGACTGGATCAGTACTCCAAATGAGAACGCACCATTGATTTATAAAATGACACTTAAATATTTTCCATATTGTGCTTTCTCCCTTTTGTTATGCATTTAATATCCTATTACCTTTTTTGTTGCTCTTTCATCAGCAGGCTTCACTAAACTGTTTGTAACACTGTCTAGCCCCTTCTCTGAGACAGATGCATTTGTTCTAGGACCCTGTATGGTATAGGAATAGTTCAAATGCATTCTTTCTAACAGGCACTTTTTTTGCATACACTTCATTTGCTAGTTTGGTCAGTGCCCTCTGAAGTTCTTCATGATTTCCCCCAAACTGGAGCAGTACAATTAATTTTGTTTCATCTAAAGAAATAGATATTTGGCCACAATTCATCCATCTTTTTTCAAGTACATATGCAAGTGTACGTGTGTGCACAGAGATCTCTTTATTAACCATCAGAAGAGATGCTATGAAACCTTGAGATACATTACGCTTAGCCTAGTGCTCTGATGAAAATTGACCTTTTGCGTCCTTCCAGGCTTTTCCCTTTTTTCTATTTGTCCTTTTTCTTTGCCTGGTCTTTTAGCTATTGATCCATGATAGGATTTCACCTCTCAAGAGGCACTTTGGAAAAGACCTTTTGAGAGTATAAATGAATGATGTTGATCATCTTAGAATATGGTCTTCCAGTTGTTTTATCATGCTACCATTTCAGCAGGTTTGACATATATAAATGTGCTTCTCATTGCACTGCAGTTTCCCAGAATTGCCTTGGGAGCTCTTTTTTGGATGTAAATATCCTATCTGCAACCTCCTATCATCTTGTACGTTAGTTGTCTTTAGCCATTTTGTGTTTTGCCAACAACTCAAAATTTGTTTTTTAAGCTTTTTCAGTACCTTGGAGAGGTAGATGATCAAGAGCACCAGAGAATATTATACTGGTCTTTTGTAAGGGAACATAGAAGAACAGTCATTACCATTGAAGGCTTGACCATAGATCAGGAGGATCAAATTTCAAGGATATTTTACATTCTCAGTCCATTTATCTCAAAACATATAACTGCTAATGCCCAGCAGAAATAAAGATGGGGAGACAACCAGACAGATGGCCAGATATGTGGGGAGAGGTTCATTAAGTTCTGAAGTTTCTAGATCATGATCCACTGATAATTTGCAGTTCTCAAAGTATTTGCTGCTCCTCTGCAGAGATACAGATTTCACATGGTGTCAGTTCCTCTTGTTTTTGACTACAATTTTACATTACAAAGGAGCTATCAAGAACATAAAGGAAATACTTGACAGGAAATTTTACTAAAGCACTTGTCACTGAAAGTTTAGAGTGGACTGGTAGTAGATGTGGTTTCTGCAGTTTAAAATGAGAAAGAAATGATCTCTTTTATTAGGATGCATACTAAGAGAATATGTGTGGATCCCTGATCTGCTGCATTAGAATTCTAGATAATAACAAACAAAATTGTTTATTTTTTATAAATTTCTAGTGGAGTTATTGAGCTATGTGGTAATATGTTCACTTTGTAGACAGACAGAAGGTGAGCATCACTAAGCACTAGCATCTGTAAGAATGATAGAAACACCTCTTGTCAAAGCTCAAATCTAAAAGCAAGAAGAAAATCAGAGGCAAAAATTAATATTATGTGATGTTTGTAGAAGGAAGATATTAATGGATATGTAATTTGTAGCTAATGATTTATCATTCTTCAACTCAATGCAGGTGTTACAACTGCTTTACCTTGGATGTCGTTGGTAGTGTAGCTTTTGGTACTGAGGTGGATTCTCAGAAGAATCCTGACGATCCCTTTGTTAAGAATTGCAGAACATTCTTTGAGATGTCTTTGTTTAAGCCTCTCCTCTTTCTAATCCGTGAGTATAGTCTACCTTTGTCTACTATTTTATGGTAATTTTCTAAAAGTCATTCTCAAATTGCAAAACATGCTGAAGCAGGAGCAGGAAAACATATAGCAGACTTTATTTCAGAGGTGTTCAGAATGTGACCTCCAGGCCAAGGATACCCTCGAGATTTCTACCGTATGCTCTACAGCTGTTGCTACCATTAATGCAACTTCCTCCAGAAACTGAGAGTCTGGAAAGGCAATGCTCCAGATTGATCTAAGAGGAAGGTTTCTGGGACCTGTAGTTTCTACGCCATCTCTTTTAATACACTTGTGCATTAAAACAGAGTAACTGCCCCTCGGAGCCTCAGAGCAAAGGTTTTGTGCACTCGGTTTGTTTGATAGGGATTGAAATCCCACCCACAAACAACAATGGGCTAATAACCCAGTAAAGAACAGATGTGGAGGAGCATAAGCAGATAGTGTAAGTCCTCCCAATTCTTATTTTTGAATAGCAGCAGCAGCAGCAGCCTAGTTGATGGCTATAAAGGATAAGGATGGTAAGTGCCAGCCACAGGCTGTCATTAAGAGAATGCTTTTTTTTTTCAGGTGAATAGATAGGGAATGCAAAAATAGAGTATCAAGCCGTTTAGTTCTAGGCCGCGAAAGCTAAGGTTTCATGGTGACGGTGGCCTTGTTAATGCGAGGGCAGTAAGAATCATAGCTGAGGAAGCCACAGTGTAATCATAGTTGAGGTTTTACCATCTTGCTATCTAGACCTCCTCACAGTAGCGTCAGGTGGCACAGTAGCAAAGTTTCCTGTGTCCATCTGATCCTGCTGGCATTACAGATTGCGCCTGTACTAGCAGCACATGAGCTGTTTCCTTCTGGAGCTGTATATTCAAAATGTCCTGGGGTTAATGTTTAACCTGATTGCAAAGTGTGATTTGTGACTAATTTCTGAAGGGACAGAAATGTGTCCCTATGTGTCTTGGACCATATCCTTTGTTAAAAAAAGTTTCTGTGGGATTTAGGTTTGGATTCTTTGATTGATCTCTTTCTGCTGGTCTGAATTTCCAAACTGTATTGCCCTGTTGGCAGCACAGTGGTTTTCCAATAACTGATTTGTTAGTCTTGAGCTGTTCGTAAGTTAACAAGGGTTTTATTAAGGTGCAAGACTTCACTCAGGTTTCTAGTTCCTGACTATAAAGGCCATGGACTGGAGATCATCCTTGTGATAACATCCCACTTACAGAATTTGTGGCTTGTTTAGGGAAGCAAAATAAAATAGCAAAACAATATCCTAATATTGGAGAACTGTAAATGACAAGAACTACTGCACAATTTCACCTATCAGTGCCATAATCTACTAGGCTAGTTCAAGATCCTCCACCTTGTGTATGTAATTGTTTGACTAGGCAGGGAAAATAATTCTCCCCTTTGTTGTGGTGGCTCTGTGGCATCAAGAAGCTGGATTGAAATCCTGAAGCATTGTGGAAGGAAGCTTGGAAGGCATCTGTCTGGCGGGGGAGTCCTGGCCAATATGGAATTCTAAAAGGAAATCCTTTACTAGCCTAT